CGCCTCTATATAGATGTGGACACGACTGCGAAAAGGAGGAAGGAAGCCTCAGCTGGGCAAATCATGCCCAGATTGACCATGGCTCAAAGTGAGAGCGACACAGATAGCCTGGAAGATTTGGTTCCTTTGTGGGATGACAGTCAACATGATATGTTTTGCGATTGCATCCAATGTTTTGTCGATTGGCTGAGGAGCCACAGAAAGCAGGCCTCAGTCCTCGCCCAAAAATAATTGGAGACCCGCTGCATCTTGAATTTGGGAGTTTCATGCCACCTGGATGGAAAGGTGGAAAACCGCACAAAGCAATGATTTGCTTTAGCCTTTCGCTTGTGGAGGGCAAGTGTTCATCTTGTATGTGTATGGGCGGTGTTCCTGCTCGCATCATCTAGCGGTGTTTCCGCTCATGGCAAGGAAGGTGTTCCACATCAATGTTTGCTGGGGTTGGCCAGTGGATGTGTGCGACAGCTAGCGGTCCTTCCGCTCATGGCAATCCAGGTGTTCCAAATCCATGTTTGCTTGCTTCCAGCGCGCTCAAAGCCAGTTGAGCGCATGATTGCCCCTGAAAAGTTCAGTGCGTCATGAGCACGCCTGGACATGAAAAGAAAAGGGCATGGAGAGGATGCCAAGCTCAAGAAGTGCCTCAGTGTCCCTGGAGCTTCTGAGAAGGCGGTTTTTCAGATATGGAACCACCTACACACTGAAAAGAAGCAGAAAAAAGCGAAACAATTCTTGGAGGAGGTGAAGGAACATTTGGGACCTTTTTCAGATTGCTTTGACCCTTTGCATCTCACCCCAAAGGACCCAACGAAGCAAAAACCCATTCCTTTTCCAGTGGCGAACGTCCAGAAGTTGCTGCAGCTTGTAGTGAAAGAATGTCCAAGCTTTGCGCTTGCTTTGCAGAGAGGGCTGAAGGATAGCAAGTGGTCGCTCAGCCCCATTCTGTATTCAGATGAATGCACGCCTCTGAATGTGCTGCTACCAATAAACAAGATGAAGGCAAGCCTCTTCTACCTTAGCTTCTGCGAGCTGGGCTGCCTTTTGTCCTCTGAGTTGGTTTGGCTACCATTGGCCTTTGTCCTTCATGGTGATGTTGATGCTGTGATTGGAGGAATGGCTGGCGTACTCAAAGTTTTAGTCGAACACATGTACGCACAGAACCGTCACGGGTTTTCAATCAAATTTGAGGACGGCATGCGCTGGTGCAAGTTGGGGAAGTTTTTTTTTCAATGGCGACTTGGATAGTGTCAGGGCATCTTTCGCTCTGGAGGGAAGTGCAGGACTACGTCCATGCCCACATTGCAGAAACATCATCAAAAAGAACACAGATTTGCTTGAGTACGATGATGATGGTTACTTCCTTGACATCGCTTCGGCAAAGGAAGACTGCTTCAACAAAAACACTGACGAGGAAGTGTTCCAAGGAATCGACTTCTTGGTGGAGGAAGGAAACCGCCTTGGCAAGGGCCAGTTGAAAGACCTGGAAAAAAGGGTTGGCCTAAATCTGGAACCAGCTTGCATTTGGTTTGACAAAAGCACCCGATCCATTCTTCCTCCAAGCCGAATCCTCTATGACCCCATGCATTGCTACTATTCGTGTGGCATTGTGAATGTTGAGCTGTCTTTGCTGTTTCAAGCCATGGAAGGCGGAACGCCGTTCAACAAAGACAATTTGTTGTCAGCAGCCTTGGAAGCTGGTTGGGTTCGTCATGGTTTTGGAGCCACTAGGAGCCCGACGCTTTTAAAGCTGCTTTTCCATGAGAAGCTTTTGGCTGGCGATGTATACAAAGGCAACGCTGCCCAAACCAAGTCCCTCCTGTCCTTGATGGCTTACTACGTTGAAATTTCCTCCGCAGGCAGGAACTGTTGCCAGGTGAGGCAGCATCTTTCCTTGCTTTGTGGAATTGTCACAGGGAGATGTCCATGTTGAAGCATGAAGAGCAAGTGAGAGATGTGTCGCAAATGCGAGCAGCAGCATGCAAGCATCAGGACTTATTCAATCAAGCATATGCAAGTTCATCGAGGCCAAAGCATCACGCAAGGTTCCATATAGCAGACTCTGCAATGAGTTGTGGAAAACATGTATCTCTTGCGAACCGCAGGAGAAGAAGCATCAGGTCTACAAGAGTTTCCTTGCGCCCAGGCTCAAGCAAAAGTCGTCAGGTGGAGGTGGTGGAATTGCCTGGGCGGCTGTGAAACGTATTTTATCTACACAAGTTCAACAGATCAATGAATCTCCTTTGTGCCCTGAGATGACACTCTTGCCGCCCATCAAGAAAGCTGGCGAGATGCAATGTCGCCTATTGTAGAGCCCGTGCACTCCAATGGCTGCCAGTGCCCGGTTTTGATTGTCAAGGTGTTTTATTTACTTTCCAATTAAGTCTGTGCCGGGTATAATTGAAGACCTTCAACAGCCAAGTTAAACCAAGCTAAGTGAACGAATTTTGTCAGCAGGCGCTCGTGTGGGAACATTAACGCTCTCCACAGATGACGTGGTATTGTGGCCAAAGTCTCGCGCTGGGGGCATTGTTCTGGCCTTCTATTGTGCAGACGGAGTTCACTTTGTGCTGAGGAAACTATTTCCTGTAGCTGGTTCAAACATTTTGTTGTGGTTGCATTCTTATACATTCTGTGTTGCAGCGCTGTTGGATCAAACCTTTTTCTTTTCTCCAGCGGTTCGCCCGCTCATGTGGTTTGTTTCCTTTTATAGAGGATGTTATATTCACGATGTATGTTTCGCGTCGGATGGATGCACAGCAATATACCCAGGTATCGCAGCATCCCTATGGCAGCGTTTGGCGAGATGGAGCTCAGTGTGTTTGCAAGCCGGCTGAAAACTTCGTGGTGCCGTGGTGGTGGCGAAAGAGAGATCATGGTGCCTACTCTGAGTGGATCTGTCTGCATTGACTAGTTGAGACTCAACGCTCGTCTGAACGCGCTGTAAGAAAAGAAACAAAAACACACAAACCAGGAACTGTTGTAAAACCCACTGAAATCATTTGCATTGCCATTGCCCCCAATATAAATAACTATAAATAACTAAGTTGATAGCGGTATGCCCGCTCATGGTGCTCGGTCTTACATTTTCTTCGAAAAAAAAGTTGTTTTCATGTGTTGGTTCTTGCAAAAACTTCCAAAAATCAAAATTGAAAACAAAACAAAACCTACTTAGGTTCTACTTATAACCTACTTAGTTCCTACTTAGGTTCTACTTATAAGTGCAGTAAGTACACTTGTTATAAGTAACCCTTAAGTATACTTATCTTGAAATATAAGTAACCCAAGTAGGATAACTAGAATTGAACCACTAAGTAGGGGGTCTGGGGGGGGTGGCCCGAGAAAGGTATACGTCAACTCAGCACATGCTGGGGGAGGAGGGTGCTCCGAGGGAAGGTTTTTTGAGGTTGTGTTGGAGGTGATTTTTGAGGGGTGGTGATGCAAGAAATGCCAAATGCATCATTTGCATCATCTGAATGGAAAGGTGTAGTTGGCACCTTGCAGGGTAGAGAGACCTAGGGTAGCTATAGTGCAGCTACCAGGTATAGTACTTCAAGTTCCCTTTCCGTCAACCGCTTGAGAACCTCGACACACGCACAGCAATCCACAGCCTTCAAGTCTCATTCGTGCTTTGAACTTGTATAGGTGTGTAAGAGGTATAGCAACATACTATTTATACGGACCCAGGGTAGCTACAAGTAGCTACAGTTCTGGTATGGCACGCATGAGGCTTCAAAGCTGTGGTTTTCAAGCTAAAGTCAAGGTGGCCTGAGACCAGGGTTTGCTGCCCTAAAACACTCTGTTCAGGCCACCTTGAAAATAAAG